TATTAATTTCTTCTGTTTTTACCTCACTGGGTAGTGCCGTACATTTCACGATGTGTGCAGTGTGTGTATGTACTGTCAAGTGTTGATTTCATGTTTTGACGAACGATGTCGATAGCGTGCCAATGTTTTATTGATTGAAATAAACATCGTATCTGACGTCACACGTGTTCAGTTGTTTCTGATCTGCAAAACGTCGTCTGCTTCAAAAAATCAAAGTGATGTCGAGCATTCGCCTACAGTGTACATACCGTGTGTGAAGAATATTGTTGCAAAAAGTAGCATCGGTCTGATTAGTGGTTGCAAAACACAGCTGTCCGGTGAAGTCGGTGAAGGTGAAGGTCGCGTCATGATCAGCCGGTCAGCGACTTTCCATCACGTCATGGCAACCAACTAAATATGCCAACTCATGTCAGGCCTATCGTATGATGTTGTATCACTGGCACTTCCAAGAAAATCCGCTTGATATCGGTACGATGATGATGTTTTTAGAAGTAAACGCAATCCGGAAAGCCCAACCCTACGCACTGGGAAATGTTGGCGCGACATTGATCAAGTTAAAACGAAGCAACACGATCACGTGATAAATCTTGCCCGCGCAAAAGAAGAGCGTCTTATTTGCATATCGAATTATCTAGGTCATGTCGCCTTATAAGACAGCAAAACTTTACAATTAGTTACATTTGACGTGGTAGAATAAAAATAATCAACTTATGTGCGTGCATAATGGTGGAATATATAATTTGGGATTCGAAAATGTTGGAAAAATAATTAACTCAGGCCGAAGCGTCCTTCGTTAATTATTTTTACCAACATTTTCTCACTTTCGTTATATATTCCACCATAATGCACGCACACATATTGATTATTTCTTAAATACATTTGATCTACGCATATGGAACACATAAGGATAATAAGTGTAATAATTACCAAAAACCAAATACGAAAACAACAAATCTTTTTTATATGAATACCTATACCCAGATTAAGTTCTATTTTCATTGACTGTAATAAACTTTGTTTTATCAGATTAACTAAGAAATGATCAATAACAAATTCTGTCGATTTCATATTGTTTTTATTATTATTTCTTGCAATCACACATGTGTTAAACACATACAAGACGAGGTCAGTGTTGTGGTACCACGTTCTGTGACATTATAACATGAGGACGGCTTGTTTGGTCAACTCGGATACCTCTCCGAAGTGGGAGTAACGCCACTTCTCTATGTTACATGGTTAGAAAGTGTACGGTTTACATCTCTCCATGAGGTGTGTAGTAGACGTGCAATGGTATAGGGTGAAGACAAAATAATGATAGCGCATGTGAACAAGTCGAAACAGGGAAACACCCATGGAAATCACCCAATTCACGAGTTCTTATTTATGCATTTTAAGGCAATGTTTAACCAATTAATGTAGTTTTTATAATAACTATATACTATCCTAATGATGATGCAAATAAAAGAATTTGATAAAATAAAGGTAATGAATCGATAATGACAGGGAATGTTAATTTCTAGTCTGGAAAACATTTCGATGGACGCCATTGATCACATCAGAAGATATGTTCAGTTCGATAGATCACTTTCCGAAGGAACAAAAAATCGCCGTTTTTACTTGAGTTTTCATGCATTTATTTGAGATATCCTATTGCCAATTAGGAATCAATTTGTCGAGAACACTAATGTCAGCCCCAGTTTTCTCAAAACATTTGAGTAGATAGCGACTGTTATGGCGAGCCGCGTAATATAGTGGAGTGCGACCGAAACTGTCTTTGGCATCTACTTTGACCCCACAGGAAATAACATATTTACAAATACTCGGATCACCTCTATAGGCAGCTATGTGCAGTAATGTATAGCTGTTTGGAAGTCCTTTTGGCTGACCCATTTGAGTGTCGATATAAAAACCAGAACTAAGCATTACTTTCAATAATCTTTTAGGCCCACGCATGAACGTGTGTCCATCCTTCTACATTTGCGATAAAAAAACTTTCCTGGCAAAGTTTCTCCGCTTTTTCACAAGTTATTTGGCTTTTCGTATCAACCGCGATTCGTCTTTTTTCATCATGACGAAAACATTCATTGCTAATGTGTGAGCTTGACTCTAACAGTCGGAAGGATCCTGAAATGTAACCATCGATAGGTCAGGCTAACAACGTACTTGTAGGTGCCAATCTAAATATCTGGAAGATACAATTTCAAAGTAAATAGTTACTTGCCTTAACTAAAGGTAGTTCTGATACATTTTGCTATACCGCTATTCATGGTTTTTTTATTGCAAACATAGTAAACAATATCAATAACTTGTTATAAACATCATACTTTCTTGTGTCCATACTGCTTCACACGTTGATGTCTCTGAAACTGACGACAAAACCAACGAGAAAGGGCTTGGAGTCATCCTCAGCTGATTACAATACATAAACATAAAATACCTGACAATTAAAGTATTGCACGTGCACTTTTGGCTTCAACATAAATGTGAAATAAATGAAACATGTAACACATATTGCTCAATTACGCCTACATTTAACCAGAGTTTCGTACTACAAAGGCGATATGGTTTATATTCATCATGTGGGAAAACTATGCTACATGTAATTGTGGTCTATATATATCATACGAAGTATCTTGTTAAACATGCCAGAATTTAAGGGAAACCTCTGCATCTTATTCGTAAGTATCAGGCGAATATTAGGCCATCTACATACACAATCGGATATTTCATTCTGGTTTTTTTTTCTACTTTTGTGAATATTGAAGACACAAAAAAGTATTTGTTGCTTCATCGAAAAACTAAATACTTTTAATTTCCTTTTTTCTGGTAGATTTACACTTTCTATTCGATGTCATCTTAGGATCTCATGATATATCCCTGGCGAGGACGTTAACGCTATCGTCAAATTAAAGAACCCTTTATATTCTTGATAGCAAAGGACCATTGAGTTCGATTGTATGGTTAACAACACTTGTCTGTCTTGAATATTATACGTTTATTAATACGACAATTCAGCATATAGATATTTATGTTTTGCTGTGGTTTCTTTTACTACTTATGGACACCTAACGCTGGTCTATGATGACTTGATATGGTGATTAGTCTGTCTCCTCTCACCGTCTAGTAATGTTATAACCTGTCGCCGTCAATTCATGATATGTTTATACATATATATATAGAAACGTTAAAAGGGCAATTATTTAAACACGTGATTGTTCTATTTTGGTTTTATTATTAGGAAGTCCCAATTAACGTCACTGAGCGCAGCACGTGATATACACTTTGTAGCAGACACGCATGCACACAGCATAAGAGGCACCTTTTACCAGTAACTATCTGACATAATCTGCAACTATAGTAAAGGGGACACACAAAGACAGCTCTAATAGTCAGCGTTTATCTAGAAGAAAGTCCGTACAACATTAGGGTGTAACGTTGTCGTCTTTATTGAGATAAACATATAGTCCGTATAATTAAGAATCAGGCCAAAGTCTGGCTGTTATATATACATGTTTGTATAGAATCTAATGACGTCACTAGGATCGTATCAGATTTAACCAAGTATGCATTTGTGCAGGTTCCCGTGAGAGCGCCGGAAGTCGTGGCACTAACTCAGGCTCCCAAAATTACACATGAAAGAGTTGGAGAGTGATGCAGTTGTGATAATACATATTTATTGATTACCAGGGTGACTGTTTCATTTCTGTCTTTATTCAGCCGTATTTCCATTATTAGAAATATAAAAATAACTTATTGACAATTATACGCACTGTGACCTGTTTAAACTGACAACCAATGGTAAACAACTAAATGCGTTTTTCGGACATGGTGCCAGATTACACAGGTTATATATGATAGTGGTAAGCTGCGTGACGTATACGGTAGGATACCGGAGTATTCAAAGGTTACATTCAACAGGCTTCACTTTACAATAATTTACGAGTGATTTACTTTCCCGTTACATTCCTCTCATAAGTGTGTAATCACAAACATGACTGTTTATTCTATCACTCTGCTAAAACATCTTTAGAATTCACTGTACTTAATAAGAAAACTAACCACATTTACCCCAGACGATATCGTGTTGGTTTCTTATTTAACTGTTTGAACTAATTACCAAGCACACCGCTTTGAAGTTAAAGCAATTGTAATCATTAACAGATAATTGAAGGAATTCATTATACTTTCTCAGTTTCATTGATAAATGTTCGTCTAAATGATTTACGGATGCTTGTGAAATGCCGTTTTTATTTGTTTGATAGCACATAACTGTAAGTTTTCAATTGATAAAACGTCATGTTTATGAAACCTAAAAATAGAACATGAATACATGTCCTGGTATTAAAACTTAGTAATTAAGCAATACACAAATTCTTAGAGGGCAAAGTCCATAAGGTTTTAAAATAGGTTTGTGATCAAAGACCAAATCCGTCCTAACGGTGAAAAGCCCGTCAACTAGTTTCTATTTCTGTTAGCTGTTGTGCAAATTTGCAACGACATGTGTTACTTTTATAGATACCATACTGAATTACAATTGTATATCTACATTTTTTTTATTTTATAGTTATAAGAACAAGACATCAACACCTAGATTTCGTCGACGTACTTTTTTTTCTATGTTTCTTATATGTTTTCTTTGAAGTCATCGTGTACTCTTAAAATGTCGCCAAGAACAAAGCCATTTCATGGAAATGCTGATAAATGTCTCTATTATTATATCATGAGAGGAAAATTCACAAAGTTAATTTTCAAGTTCTATTGAAACGATGTTAGCTATGTACCATTTTGGGTAGCGTACCAATTGTGGCAGCGTACGTTAGATTGTTAAATAGTTGAAGTATATATGAAATGTTTGATCCCATAAACTCTCATCCATCATTATATATTGTTATTTGCTCAATTTTCTTTTTTATATACATATCCCGGACTATTTTCCATCTTCATTGACTATATTACTTTTTTATCAGATTAAGTAAGAAAATAAACAATAACAAATAATATCGATTTCAGATAGTTTTTTTTATTATTTCCTGCATTCACACATGTGTCCAACAGATACAAGACGAGGTCAGTGTTGTGGTACCACGGTCTGTGACATTATAACATGAGGACGGCTTGTTTGGTCAACTCGGATACCTCTCCGAAGTGTGAGTAACGTCACTTCTCTATGTTACAATACTGCACGTGCTAGTTTGGCTAGGCTAAGCTTCCATATAAATGTGAAATAAACGAAACATATAACATATATTGCTTTTTCAGACCTACACATTTTGTAATCCATTACACCTTTATTTAAAACGTATGTCGTACCACACAGGAGATATGGTATATATTTCATCATGTGGGAACATTCTTAAACATGCAAGAATTGAAGGGAAACCTCTGCATCTTATTCGTAAATAAGAGGCGAGTAATAGGCCCTCTACAGACAGAATTGGATATTCCATTCTGTGTGTTCTACTTTTGTGAACATTGAAGACACAAAAAAGTATTTGTTGCTTCATTACTTTTAATTTCCTTTTTTTCTGTTAGATTTACACTTTCTTTTTGATGTCATCTTAGGATCTCGTGATATATCCCTGGCGAGGACCTTAACGCTTCCCTCAAATTAAAGAATCCTTTTTATTTCTAATAGCAAAGGACCATTGAGTTCGATTGTATGGTTAACAACACTTGTCTGTCTTGAATATTATACGTTTATTAATACGACAATTCAGCATATAGATATTTATGTTTTGCTGTGGTTTCTTTTACTACTTATGGACACCTAACGCTGGTATATGATGACTTGATATGGTGATTAGTCTGTTTCTCTCACCGTCTAGTAATGTCATAACCTGTCGCCGTCAATTCATGTTTATGGCAATTATTTAAACACGTGATTGTTCTATTTTGGTGTTATTATCAGGCAGTCCCAATTAACGTCACTGAGCGCAGCACGTGATATTCACTTTGTAGCAGACACGCATGCATACAGCATATGAGGCACCTTTAACTAGTAACTATCTGATATAATCTGCAACTATAGTAAAGGGGACACACAAAGACAGCTCCGATACTCTATGAGGTCTGCATTAGACGTGCAATGATACCGGATAGAGGGTACAGACAAACCAATGATAATAGCGCATGTCAACAAGGCGAAACAAGGAAAACACCCCAAGAAACCACCTCATCCACACTTTCTTAATTATTCACTTCAAGGCATTGTTAAACAAATTAAGGTAGTTATTATCATAACTACATGTCAGCATGATGATGCAAATACAAAACAAAAACATTATTGGTCTGGAAAACGAATATCACATTTCGATGGACGCAATTGAACATAACAGCAGATATGTTCAGTTCGACAGATCACTTTCCGAAGAAACAAAAAGTCGCCGTCTTTGCTTGAGGTGTCATGCATTCATTTGAGATATCCGATTGCCAATTCGGAAGCAATTTGTCGAGAACACTTATGTCAGCCCCAGTTTTCTCAAAACATTTGAGTAGACAGCGACTGTTATGGCGAGCGGCGTAGTATAGTGGAGTGCGACCGAAACTGTCTTTGGCATCTACTTTGGCCCCACAGGAAATAAGATATTTACAAATACTCGGATCACCTCTATAGGCAGCTATGTGCAGTAATGTGCAGCTGTTCGGAAGTCCTTCTGGCTGACCCATTTGAGTGTCGATATCAAAACCAGAACCAAGCATTACTTTCAGTAACTTTTTAGACCCACGTAAAGCGCAGGCATGAACAGGCGTCCATCCATCCACATTTTCGATAAAAACTTTCCTGGCAAAATTTCTTCGCTTTTTCACAAGTTGCTTGGCTTTTCGTATCAAACGCGATTCGTCTTTTTTCATCATGACGAAAACATTCATTGCTAATGTGTGAGCTTGACTCTGACAGTCGGAAGGATCCTGAAATGTAACCATCGGTAGGCCAGGCTATCAACGTTGGTGCCGATCTAAATATCTGAAAGATACAATTTCAAAATAAATACCTATTTGCATTGACTAAAGGTTACATTTTGCTATCCCGTTATTAATGTTTCTATTACAGTCATAGTAGACAATGTTAGTAAATTGTTATAAACATCATACAATATTATGTCCTTACTAATTAACTTACACATTGATGTCTCTGAAACTGACAACAAACGACGAGTCAGCCTGAGCTGATTGTAATATTGCACGTGCTAGTTTGGCTAGGCTAAGCTTCAATATATATGTGAAATAAACTCGCTTGTATGGTGAACAAAACGTGTCTGTCTTGATTATCCTACGTTGACTAATACGAAAATTCAGCATATAGATATATAGATATGTTTTGCTGTGGTTACTACTAATACTTATGGACACCTAACGCTGGTCTATGGTGACTTGATATGGTGATTATTCTGTCTCCTCCCGCCGTCTAGTAATATCATAATCTGTCGACGTCAGTTCATGATATGTTTGTACATACATATAGAAACTTTATAAAGGCAATTATTTAAACACATGATTGTTCTATTTTCGTGAAATTGAGCTCAGCACGTGATATACACATTCTAGCAGGCACACATGTATACAGCATACGAGACATTATAGTTACTAGTGACTATCTGACACAATCAGCAAGGATATTAAATTCGACACACATATTTAGATGTATGTGTGTAACTTTTCTGTCTTTATTGAGATAACTATAGTCCGTTTAATTAAAAATTAGGCCAACGTCTGGCATACAGATGCTGTTCGTATAGAAGCTAATGACGTCACTAGGATCGTATCAGATTAACCACGTATGCCTTTGTGCAGGTTCCCGTGAGAGGCAGGAAGCCGTGACACTAAATCAGGATCCCAAAACATACATATGAAAGAGTTGGAGAGTGATGCGGTTGTGATAATATTTATTGATTACCAGGTTGAACCTTTCATATCTTTAGCCATATTTATATTCCTATTTTTCTGTAGTTTATTCCTACTAATAAAAATATAACACTTATATGCAGCTGAGACCTGTAAAAATTGACAACTTGTGGTAAACAACTAAATGCGTTGGTGGGACATGGTGTCATATTACACGGGTTATGTACGATAGTTTTATACTGTGTGACGTATACGATACGGTACCGGAAACGGAGTTTTACTTGATAGTATTTAACGAGTTATTGCAAATGTCCCGTTATATTCTTCTCATCAGTGTGGAATCAAAAACCTGACTGTTTATTCTATCACTCTGCTTAAACATCTTTATAATTCATTAAACTTCAGCAAATTAACCACATTTACCTCCGACAATATTTCGTTGGTTTCTTATTTAACAGTTTGTAAGTATTACATAGCACACCGCGTTAGAAGTAAAGTAATTGTAATCACTGAAATATAATTGAAGGAATTAATTATACTTTACTATCGCTATCCTTGACTTTTGGCCTTTTTAGAGCCATATATTTTTCGGATATAATAATACAGATTATTTTATAGTTTCAGTGATGAATGTACGTCTAAATGAATTACGAATGCTTGTGAAATGCCTTTCAAATGAATTAATATATTCAATTGTAACTTTAAGCCATAAAGGTACTGTAATAAATGTGACACGGATGTTTATGAGAAACATTTTACCGTAAATAGCAAGGGACAGGTGAAGTCATATTACAAACAATTACAACCAAGACTGAATTGTTACCTATCCATTGAGTTATGGAGGAGACATATATTCAGTATTACCATGTAAATATCTATAAATAAGGTAAATTGTTTATTTTATCTTAATATTACTGTATACTTTTAGTAATTATCAGACGCTGACTCTTCGTGTTAACATTCTATAATATTTACTGAGGCTTGGTATTACCTATCTTAATAAGGAATGTAATCTGGCTTTACCTAAATACTTTTTTACAATATTTCATATGATAAATCAACACATGCTTCTATGTTAAGGCTTAGTTGGGTCCAAATAATTTAATTTAATTAATAACACATAACTGTAAGGGTAAAATCGATAAAAATGTCATGCTTATGAAAACTTAAAATAGAACACGAATACTTGTCCTGGTATAAGACAAAAATCTACATTAAGTGATACACAAAATAATAATAAAAATATAATTTCAATAAATGAATGAAAGATTTACAAGGTGACCAAGGTCGATACTACTGACTGGATATTTGGGTTATCAATATTTCACAAGATAATAAATGTTTATGAAAACAAAATGTTCATTACGTGTTTTATAACATTGATACATACATTTGGATGTTTCCTGACTCGCTATGCTGACTGTTAAGCCTTCTGTCCAGATGATGGTAGTTCTCCTACTGCCAGTCTGAGATTACTCGTGTGAATGACTGCAGAATTCAATTGTTCATCAATATTATTTATCGTGTATTCTATAAACTAGTCAAGTCACACGACCGATCAATACGTGGCTACGTCTTTACCGTTCTGTGGGGGAAACAACAGCGTGCCAGCGAAAAGTTAGCGTTGGCAGAAAGCGGCCGTATGCAGACAAAGTGCTTAGCATACACTTTATAGACAAACTTTTGGGGTTAAAGGTCACATGATCTGTAATGCGATTAGTTGCTGTATAAGTTCGCGGTGTTAATGATGTTTTCCTTAGAAGTCCTGTAGTGACGATAACTGTAAGATACGTGTCATGTTTTAGTTTAAACAGTTTTAAATTCAATAAGACGATACGATTATATCATAGATATAACATTGGAACGATGGTAAGACAGGCCTATGTATTTAAAAAAAACGTCTGATCGTTTGTCATTGCTTCAACGTGGGATTTTAAACAGTCTTTTTTACTTTTGAATTCAAGTGAATGTATCTGTTTTGATATCTGCATATGCATAAAGCATTAACTGTCCTGCACTCTATTTTTGAAAAACAAATGCAGAACAAATATCACTTTAGTTTTGAGTAAATAGTAAAACCCATTCTATGAAAACCGACATGATCCTGGACCCCCTGTGACTTTCTTATATATCGTTATCTGTTATATGTGTGCTATCTGTTATATATGTGATATCTGTTAAATGTGTTTTATCTGTTCTATGTGTGTCATCTGTTATGTGTGCCATCTGTGATATGTGTGTTATCTGTTATATGTGTATTATCTGTTATATGTGTGTTATCTGTTATATGTGTGTTATCTGTTATATGTGTGTTATCTGTTATATGTATGCTAGCTGTTCTGTGTGTGTTATCTGTTATATGTATGCTAGCTGTTCTGTGTGTGCTATCTGTTATATATGTGATATCTGTTCTATGTGTGCTAAAATTATCTGTTTAATGTGTCATGGAGGCTGAATACTGACCACAGGTTAACCAGTTGTTTCGATTACCATGAATAACACCTACCATTTCAAAGGCCTTTGGTATCTCCAGTACGGTACAGAACCCATTGCCTCACTTTGATGAACGTTCAACGCAAAGACAAAAGTGTGGTATTTCCAAACAAGGCGCAGGCAAAAATTAGGAGAAAATATCATCATTAAACATGTGGCAATTGGTGAAGTAGATAAATTTTGGTCGTCTCTTTGTCCCCACGTAGAACTCCAATATTAGTTGCACCTCAAAACAAGCAGGTATATCCTGTTCTAAATCCAAGATCTGTAACGCGATTGGTTCAGTAAATATAATGAACGATCAAAAAAATGAAAACATTGCTTGTGATGAAACTGACATTATCAGATGTTGTTTACATAATTTGTGTAAAAAGTTGCTTTGTTAGACATTAACCATACAAATCACAGTACTAGACATCTGGCAGCATGTTAGGTGATATCAGACGTTACTATTAGTATATCATTACAACGATGACGTCACACTCGTGCCGTCCATTTGACGTTCTGAAAATGACATCACGTTATGTTAACCACTGCGTGTGTTTTTAGATTACTGTCATTCTTTTATGTAGGAAAAGAATAGTACAGGAAAAAAGTCCTAATGATTTATGAATAAAACTTTTTCTGTTTTTTAGTTTTAACCTTTCCATCATTATATGAGAAGCAGGACAAGTAAATAAAACATAACGGAATTACTTTTCGAAATTAGTGTATTAACAATATTTGGCTCCTCAGGCTCCAAAAGTTACTAAGAAAATCATTATTAATAAGTTATTGATGTTTGGGAACTTTAGAGGATTTGTACAATGGATATTATATAATTTGAATGGGTTTAATCTTAATCAACAATACACCATGCTGTAAATCGTATATTACGAGTGGTGAAGAATTTGTCAGAAAACACAACATTAACAAGCTTTATTATCAAAACATTGCATATGCATTATTGAATCATAAAACCAAACATGTTTCCAAAACACACTATCGGACTGTGACGTAACACTGCGGCGGACCTACTTTAAAAAGTCAATACATTTGGAGTTATTATCAGTAGAAGTGGTCCGTTAGGTCTACAATGATTGCAAGCGTTTGAACAACTGTTTGATTGTAGGCGCGTGTTCGACCTTTGTCGCCGGGGTAATCGGTCTTTTGTTCGACCTTTGTCACCGGGGTAATCGGTCTTGTGTTCGACCTTTGTCACCGGGGTAATCGGTCTTGTGTTCGACCTTTGTCGCCGGGGTAATCGATCCAATAATTGTTTAATCATTTCCAGCTGGAAAAAACATAATTAACAATATTTGATTGGTTTCAAAGTTTTTAACACCATGATTGATATGGCCGTCAAATAAGCAATCAAAATTTAGTTGACACGTCATATCTCTGCAAAAGTGGTGGAATCGGATCTTTGACATCACACACTGATATTAATCAACGTATGCCCAACTTACATGTTACCAGAAGACAATTCTTATTTTTAGAGAACAGTTTTTTAAGTAAATCTTAACGCTCACACATGTAACTATACTGCTTTCCTTTAATGCTCTATAGTCTCCATGCATCTAAATCAAGGAATGATTTTCAAAGATTGTGAAAAGACACCATCTAAAAGATTTGAGTAACTCTTGTTAAACAAGTAGGGCTTTGCATAACGTATTTTCGGGCCCAGGTGCATTGGGAAAGTAATCCGCTTTCGTCAGTATGACCTGTTGAAAGGACACTCCCAACAGGACGTCGGCGAGATCGGCTTACTCAGTATCATGTTGTCTAGCTCGGTGCGTGCACGTTGTGTATGAAACACGTGACTGACGAAAGCGCGTTACACAGTGTAGAATTGTACCAAAGTGACGATTTTCATAGAGTAACGTCCTAATTAATACAGACTGCACACGCTATATGTTCTTTGTTGTGCTGGTATCATAGAGTTTTAGATGCAAAATGAAAACAATAAATATAAAGATGAACTGCAGACCTCTCTAAAATGCTTGAATTTTATTGTACAGTTGGATTTTTTTGCGGGGTAATTAATCTCGCTATATTCACAATCACCAAAGTTAGTACGAAATTATATATCCAGCGAACATTAACACCATGAAGATTTACCCTTTTATTGCAAAACGCTTGTTAAATAGTACCCTCTTGAGCGTAATATTTTTACATGGCAAAGTTACGCAGTATTTAGGCCCCGCGAATTAGTTTTGATCCGGTCAACCGGGAAATATGAGCCTCGCAAATTTAACAACTATACAGTATATTTGAAGTAAACGAAACAGTGAGACAAAGTCTAACCGCTATTTGTCCACATAGAATGGTTCCTACCTTCTTCATGTTACAGAATAGCATCTAACAACCTCAATACCATAGAATGTCTGTTGTTACCAATTACCATTAACAAGGGTTCCTACCTTCTTGTTATAGAATAACATCTAACAACATCAATACCATAGACTGTCTGTTGTTACCAATTACCATTACCAAGGGTACCTACCTTCATGTTACAGAATAGCATCTAACAACCTCAATACCATAGACTGTCTGTTGTTACCAATTAACCATTACTACCGAGGGTATCTACCTTCTTCGTGTTACAGAATAGCATCTAACATCTTCAATACCATGGGCTGTCTGTTGTTACCAATTACCATTACCAAGGGTTCCTACCTTCTTGTTACAGAATAGCATCTAACAACCTCAACACCATAGGCTGTCTGCTGTTACCAATTACCATTACCAAGGGTACCTACCTTCTTCATGTTACAGAATAACATCTTACAACCTCAATACCATAGGCTGTCTGTTGTTACTAATTACCATTACCAAGGGTTCCTACCTTCTTCGTGTTACAGAATAACATCTAACAACCTCAATACCATAGGCTGTCTGTTGGTACCAATTACCATTACCAAGCGTTCCTACCTTCTTCATGTTTCAGAATAGCATCTAACAACCTCAATACCATAGACTGTCTGTTGTTACCAATTAACGATTACTACCAAGGGTTCCTACCTTCTTCATGTTACAGAATAGCATCTAACAACCTCAATACCATAGACTGTCTATTGTTACCAATTACCATAACCAAGGGTACCTACCTTCATGTTACAGAATAGTACCTAACAACCTCAATACCATAGAATGTCTGTTGTTACCAATTACCATTACCAAGGGTACCTACCTTCTTCATGTTAGAGAATAGCATCTAACAACCTCAATACCATAGACTGTCTGTTGTTACCATTTACCATTACCAGTGGTTCCTACCTTCTTCATGTTACAGAATATCATCTTACAACCTCAATACCATAGACTGTCTGTTGTTACCAATTACCATTACCAAGGGTACCTACCTTCATGTTACAGAATAGCATCTAACAACCTCAATACCATATAATGTCTGTTGTTACCAATTACCATTACCAAGGGTTCCAACCTTCTTCAAGTTACAGAATAGCATCTCACAACCTCAATACCATAGACTGTCTGTTGTTACCAATTACCATTACCAAGGGTTCCTACCTTCTTCATGTTACAGAATAGCATCCACAACCTCAATACCATAGACTGTCCGTTGTTACCAATTACCATTACCAAGGGTTCCTACCTTCTTGTTATAGAATAACATCTAACAACATCAATACCATAGACTGTCTGTTGTTACCAATTACCATTACCAAGGGTTCCAACCTTCTTCAAGTTACAGAATAGCATCTAACAACCTCAATACCATAGACTGTCCGTTGTTACTAATTACCATTACCAAGGGTTCCTACCTTCTTCATGTTACAGAATAGTAACTAACAACCTCAATACCATAGACTGTCTGTTGTTACCAATTACCATTACCAATGGTTCCTACCTGCTTCATGTTACAGAATAGCATCTGACAACCTCAATACCACGCAAGTGTGCTATTTATTGGACAGCAAAGTAAATGTGCTTGACTGGACCCGTCTCTAGAATATTTAATTATTTATTAAAAAACAGGTAACTCTAATATTTTTGATCACTTGAATATCATATTCTTGTACAATACAGCTGGAAATATCTTAATAATAAGAGTACCTGTGATTTAGGGCCGCGAACCTAAGATGGGAGTAAAACAGAAATGAATTCGAACTGCAATGACACGTTAACTAAATGTAC